GATGTACGAGCTAGATAAAAATATGCCTATGCTATTGGCCAAACTGTGTTGTAATTAATATAGCTTTTGTGTTACTATTTGGGTCTAGGTAGCTGGGAAAGAAACCAACAGTCTCTGCTTACAAAAAAAGCAAATGAATCTATATAACCCTGAACAAAATACAAGTCCAAGTGGATCAAAGACCTCAAGAAAAGTCCTAATATACTGAACCTGATAGAAGAGAAAGTGGGTAATAATTTCGAATGCATTAGCACAGGAGAAAACACATTATCACAGACACTGCAATCAACAATAAATGGGACCTCATGAAACTGAAAAGTTTCTGTAAGACAAAGTACACTGTCAATAAAACAAAATGGCAGCCCACAGAATGGGAAAACATCTTCACCAACCCGAAATCAGACATATGGCTGATCTCCAAAAATGTGTAAAATTTACACAATGGAGTACTACTCAGCTGTTAAAAACAAGGACAGCAGGAAATCTGAAGGCAAAAAGATGGAGCTAGAAAAAATTGTCCTGAGTGAGGTAATCCAGACCGAGAAAGAGAAACATGGTATATACTCATCCATAAGTAGATATTAGCTAGGTATTAAAGGATAACTATGCTACAATCCACAGACCCAGAGAGACTAAATAACCAGGAGGGTTCATGGAGGGACACCCAGATCTCCCTGGGAAGGGGAAATAGAGATTTTGTGAGTGGACTGAGGGTAGGCAGGGATGGGAACATGAGTGATCAGGTTGGAGGGGTGGAAGGACAGAGTGATTACTGCGGAGGGGAGGGGGCATTTCGGAGTCAGGTAAAAACCCGGCACAAAGGAATCTCCCAGAAATGTACAAGACTGACCCCAATTTAGACTCCTAGAAATAGCAGATACCTAGCCTGAACTGGCCATCTCCTGTGACTAGATTGGTGCCTAGCCCAATTGTCATCAGAGAGGAGTCATTCAGCAACTGATGAAAACAGATGGAAACCCAGTTAAAAATTAGGTGGAGTCTGGGGAATCCTGCACAAGAGAGGGAGGAAGGAGTGGAGGAGTCATAGAGGTCAAGGATAGCACAAGAAAACTCACAGAAACAACCTCAAAAGGACTGAGCCAGGCGGTGGTGGCGCACGCCTTTAATCCCAGCACTCGGGAGGCAGAGACAGGCGGATCTCTGTGAGTTCGAGGCCAGCCTGGTCTACAAGAGCTAGTTTCAGGACAGGCTCCAAAACTACAGCGAAATCCTGTCTTAACCAAAAAAAAACCCAAAAAAACAAACAAAAAAAAAAACAACAAAAAAAAAAAACCTGAATTGACAACCAGGGAGCCTGCATGAGACTCTCCTAGGCTCTCTGCATATATGTTACAGTTGTGTAGGTGGAACTCCTAACAGTGGGAACAGGGATTGTGTCTGATTCTTTTGCTGGCTTTTGAGACCCATGCTACTCATACTGTCACCTTGCCCAGCTTTAATACACGAGGAAGTGCTTAGTCTTACTACAACATGATATGCCATGTTTTATTGATACTCATGGGAGACCTGCCCTTTACTAAACAGAAATGGTGGAGGAGTGGATTGGGGGGATGGGAACAAAGGGGGTGGGGGAGGGACTGGGAGGAGAGGAGGGAGGGGAAACTGTGGTCAGGATGCAAATTAAATTTATTAAAATATACAGAGAGAAATTTTAAAGAAAATATTTTCTCTGAAAGAGTATACTGCATTTACTGAACTCTGCACATAAATTCTTGTTTTCCTTTAAAATATGCTATGCAAAAAAAAGACTATGTAAAAAAAAGGCAGGGATGGGAAAACAAACCTCTGGGTAAAGGCATTTGCTGCTAAACATGATGACCGGGGTTTGATACCCAGGACCCACATTGCTGAAGAGATCCATTCCCACAAGTTGTCCTCTGACTTCCACATAAGTACTATAACACATGAGTATAATAAATAAGTAAATGTAGTAACAATAAGGTAGAAATGTGACTGCAAAAGGTATAATATTAGCCTCTGGACTCTAAATGCAACTTCACAGGCAAGTATATTCATATACATATATAAACTCGCATATGCCATACACAAAAAATTAAAAAAGAAAAAAAATCTTGTCATTTCCAAGAAAATGGATAAAACTGGAGGTCATGATGTTAAGAAAATGAGCCACAGTCAGAAAGACAAATGTTAAAATTTTTCTTATGCGAAATCAATCCCCCCCACTGTTTGTGTGTATGTATAAAACCACCACGTTACATAATGAACACATGTTGATAATAATTTTAAAAGAATATTTACAATTATTTGATGGTATCAGGAATTTTATCTTTATTTGGGGAACTATAGCACATCTTATCATAAACTTTAAAAAATTTGTGTGTGTGTGTGTGTGTGTGGCTATGGGCATGTGCTTGCCAGGGCTCTGTATGTCTGTCTGTAGGTTAGAGTGTAACCTCAGGGATTCCTCCTCGAGACTACATTTTTTTTTTCTGAGACAGGGTTTCTCTGTGTAACAGCCCTGGCTGTCCTTGGAACTTACTTTGTAGACCAGGCTGGCCTTGAATTCACAGAAATCCAGCAGCCTCTACTTCCAGGATTGCTGGGATTAAAGATGTGCGCCACCACATGCTGGCTGCATCTCTTGTTTTGCTACTAACAAACCCGGGTTAGCTGGTTTCTGAGCTACCTGTTGCTGCCTTTCTTCCACCCTCCAGAGAACTGGGATTAGAGATACCTGGCTTTGTGTAGATTTTGAGGATTCAAAACTCTGGTCCTCCATCTATGTGGCAGTTGCTGTTGCCAGCTGACCTGTGCTTCCAGCCTTTAAACATTTTTACAACAATAAAAAAAATTGTTTTAGAAAATGTTCTAGCCATGCTTGGTAGCGCATACACTTACTCCTAGCACTGCAGAGGCAGAGGCAGAGGCAGAGGCAGGTTGATCTCTGTGAATCTGAGGTCAGCCTGGTCAGCAAAAAAAATTTCAGGCCAGCCAGGGCTACATAGTGAGTCCTTGACACAGAAACAAAAACTCATAAACAACTCAATATTCCTATTGAAAATTACTACTGAAAATATGCCAAAGAAAATTACTACTAAAATGTCATATAATATTTCAGATTTTTGATTTTTTTTTATAATTGTTTTTAAGACAAGAGTCTCTCTACATAGACCCAGATGTCCTGGAACTCTGTAGACTAGGCTGGCCATGAACTCAGAGATCCATCTGCCTCTGCCTTCCAAGCGCTGAGATTAAAGGCCTGGGCCACACTGCCTGGCTAATGTTAGAGGTTCTAAATGCATGCAAACCTATTATCTTTAAAACAAATGAAACCAGAGAAAGAATTTTTAAAAGTTAAAAGGAAATCCACTTTCCCTTGACTGCCCCTTTGAGCCTACCTCCCTGAAATAACAAATGTTAAAAGTAAGGCATTTATACTCTCCCGTCTCAGTTCTCTTTTATATATGCAAAAGGATATATGTATATTCTTACTTTATGCATTTGAGTAAAAAAGAACCAGAGTGGGAACTGGTGGGCATACACAAAGGTATTAAAGAATCCCAGCACTTAGGAGTCAGACACAGACGTATCTCTGTAAGTTCAAAGCCAGTATGGTCTACATATACACAGTGAGTTTCTGTCTCAAAAAAAAAAAGAATCCTAGAAAACACCCTCCAACTGGACATGCAGTTTTTGTCATTTGGTCCTCAACACAGGCCCACAGAGAGAAACTAATATTTAGTTAAGAAGGTCATATAATAAACAACAAAACAGGACATTAATCCCAGCACTTGGGAGGGAGAGGCAGGTGAATCTCCATGAGTTTAAGACCAGCCTACTCTACAAAGTGAGTTTCAGGACAGGCTCCAAAGATACACAGAGAAACCCTGTGCCGAAAAACCAAAAACAGAAAAAAAAAAAAAAAAAAGGAAAAGCAGGACTCGGTCTGTGATTTGGTTTCTGACATATAAACTTCAGAGAGTCACTGAGCATTTTTTTCTAATGTTTAAGATTCATTTACATTTATGGGTCTTATGTATACGTCTGCACACCAAAAAAAGGTACCATATCCCGTAGTTGAGGTTGTAAGCCACCATGTGGGTGCTGGGAATTGAGGTCGGGACCTGCAAGAGCAGTCCGTGCCCATAACGGACTTCCTCCAGCCCCTTCCCTGAGCATTTTAACAGATATATCACACATTTCTGCGTAATCTCGGAGAGCTTCAGCAGTGAATGGAAGAAATAAAAAAGTCCTGACTATGAACTACCACATAAGGTGGCGCTTGGAGGTGCTTGGTTTAGGAGAAAAGAAACGACCGCAAATCATCATAGGGGGCTACGGAAGATGGAGCTACTCCCAGACTACACCCCTTTAGTTGCGTCAGGAATACCCCGTATGGTTGACGCTTCCAATGGTGGTTCAAATTCTGGAACATTCCATACAGAAGAGCGGGCTTTTTCAAGCACGGGACAAACTATTACACTTGGGGGTACAACTTTTGAAATTGTTTAGATTATTATTTATGTATTTATTTATAGGGCTTTTTTGTCTGTTTAACTTCCTTTTCTATCTTTAAAGGATCTCAATACTAACAACAGCTGGTTCCCAATTTTCTCTGCCACGAACAGGGGTTGGGGGCGCTGCCTCACCCCACCCCCTGCCGGTCCTGGAAATTGGAACAGTCCAAGAGCAAACCTCGCGAGATGTCCGAAGGAGATATGCTCCTCGCGAGTCCTTTACTCTGGAGCCGTTTGCCTGAGGAGGAGGACTGGACTTTGGCGTGTTGTGTTGCTGTCCGCTTTGGTTAGCAGGCTGGTCTTGTGGCAGGCGTGTTGGATTGGTACGTTCTCTAGCCACTAGTGGAAGCGGTGAGTCCGGGGAGGGTGTCCTAGCCTTCCAAGGAGTCACTTTTAAATAAACTCGGCTGGCGCGTTGCAGGGGCAAGGTGAGCTAAGGTCTTGATGGGAGGCTTAAGGGGCGAGGTTGTGCTTTCAAAGACCTGCAACAGACTGTTCTGTCCTTACAAGGCCCGCAAAGCACCTAAGACACTCAGCCGTCAGCCATCATGGACCCCGAGGATCCCTCTAGTGGGTTCCGGCATGGCAAGGTGTTAACGTTCATCAATGAGCAAATGTCCAAGCAACCAGAAGGCCCAGCGTTCTACCAAGAGAACCTGTCCCTCTCCTGGGAGGAGGTGGAAGAAAAGCTCCGAGTCCTCCTGGAGGATAGCGAGAAGCCAAGCCAGGCTCAGGAAGCCTGTGCCTGGGGCGGCCTGGCCCTGGGTGTTCGCTTCGCTTGGAGGCAAGGCCACTTGCAAAGGCGCAGAGTGCAGTGGCTGCACGACTTCGCCTCCCTGCACCGGTCAGCGGCACATGCCTTGGCCTCTGACCTGAAGAAGCTCACAGACCAGCAAGAGATGGAGCGCAAAGAGGCGGCCTTCCAGCTTCAGCTGGCCCATACCAAACTGGCGGAGGTGCAGAGAGAGCGGGACCTGATGAGACTGAAGCTCCTACACGCAGTAAGATTGCCTCCTAACCCAGTTTTAGCCACCCCTATGCCCATACCCCATTTCTGGAATATGGCTCAACTCTTCCCACTTCTCTCTAGGAGCTGAGGGCCTTTCCAGTTGGAGAGATGCCAGCCGTGAAGAGAGCCCCTGCTACTGCTGGAGGGGCAAAAGCAGAGACACAAAATGCAGGAGAGACAGAAGAGGTGAAAGCTAGCGATAGAGCTGTGGGTGAGCCAGAAAAGGAGATAGCCATGGCTGCCCCCAGGGAGCTGGAAGGCACAGGAGAGCTGGGAGAAAGCATCCTGGGTCATTTTGGCGTTATGGATTGGAAAGATTTTGGCTTGGGCTTGGACGAGGAAGAAGGGGAGGAAGGAGAGGAAGACGGCAAATCTAGTGAAACACTTACATGTTCTGTCTCTGGGCCCTTAGATCTCGGGTCCACACCCTCCCCACAATCTGTTACTATCCAACTCCCTGCCTCATTCACATACTCATACGAAAGCCCCTTCCCAGTCACGCCCACTCCATCCCCGCCACCAAGCATCCTCACAGAACCTCAGATGCCTCCCTACTTCATGGCTACTGATATGAATATGTCTGACACTGAGGGCCCGACAGTATACCTCCAAGAACCCCCGAAAGAGAGCCAAAATAGTGGAGCCCAACAGCAGAGATCTGGGGATTGGAACTGCCCTTGGTGTAAAACTGTGAATTTTTCACGGAGTGAAAACTGCTTCCACTGTGGGAGGCGGATATGGCTGCAGAGCCCTCAGTGAGTTCAGAAACATGATACAGAATTATCATAACAGAACTTACCATAGCGAAATCAATTTTCAGAGGTGGGAAAAGGAGAATGGGGGGGTCATGGGAATGGGGAAACATGGGATGGGTACAGAGATGGTGTGGGAGGGACAAGTTTTGATGACTTTTTTTGTATTCCAGAATTAGCATTTGACATCCCAGAACTGCTTCGCCTGGGTTGGGGGTGGGTTGCGGGGGGGGGGGGGGAGGGATGTTTGGGTGTGTGTATGCATAGCCCCTCCCTAGTGGCTGGTGGGCCTAGACAGTTAAATATATAAAGACCCTACTCTTTCTACTTACCTAGGCTTTAGAAGATGGAGCCAGAGGTTATTTGGCCCATTCTAAGCCAAAGATTTCAGACTGGAGGATATGAAGGGAAAGATTCAATTGTCAGGATAGTTTTGGGTAAAGAACCAGTGGTCGGGGACAGGGTTATAGGCAGTGATTCTGGAGGCCACAGCCCATCGCTGGTCCAGGCTAAGGTAGGGAACAGAACCGGCTGCTTTTCAGTTTTAGCCAGGTACTAGAGCCTCCAGGAGCTGCCAGTTGTACAGAGAAGTTGATCAGCTGACTACAAAGAACCCAGCTACCTTTTATTTCTATCAAGTTGTGTTATATAAGGTGCCACTTTACCTCAATCCCTTCTCTTTAAGATAAGTAGGTGCCTGTTCTCAGCAAGTAGATCATTCTCATATCAGGCACTTTTTCTTTCATATTTCGATTTTTCTTTGATTAAAAAAAAACAAGGTCTCATGTAGCCTAGACTTGCCTCAAACTTACTAGTAGTAACTGAGGATGACTGACTCCAGATCCTCCTGCCTCCACTGCTAAGCGTTGAGATTACCACGCCTGGCTCAGAAAAGTAGTTTGAAAACAATGCACCATTAAAGAAACTTAATGGAATTGGCAGGGGAGTTGAAGTGGAGAACAAGCAGTGAGAATTCCTTTATTCCAAGTCTCCAGGAATGAACTGGGTAGAATGCCTATGTTCTGAGGGAATTCTATTACAAGAAAAAAGGTCAGGCCTCTGGCAGTCGTTCCTAGGAATGAACTGGATAGGAGGCTCAAGTTCTGAGAGAGTAATACAAGAAATATAACCATCCAATGAAGCCTGAGATGGCTTAACCTCAGGTTTATGCTTGACTCAAAATAACTTGGTGGAGATTTGCCACCCCTGTGAGAATTCTGAAAGCCTACAGATTATGCCAGCACCAGATGCAAACAAGGACTTCTGTGACTGTACAGCCTCTTAAGAGAATGCTTCCACAGTGGGCAGAACCGTGGACAGGTCTGAACAGGAAACTCCACTACTCCAAGGTGAGTCAGCAACTGATAAGGCACAGAGGGTTTGCCAGTTTACAGGGGAAAGCACAGTGCTATCTGATGGGATTCTCCCTTCCAGTTCAGCAGCATGCTAAATGGAGGAGAATGAGGGTTTAAAAAGTTCTTGGTGTATTCAAAAATACAAAGTACAACAGAACTTTATCCCAGTAGGAGGAATGGTGGAGGAAGGTGGAAGCTGGGGGAGTGAGGAGTAGGAGGGAGATCAGTCTGTTTCTCCCACTCTGTGGCTACAGAATGTGTTGAGAGGAACTATGTTTTAGTCCTCAGGCAGAAGGAAGACTGTACCTGGACCAGACTGAGATACAACTGGAAGACTCCTGCCTATCTCTAGAGACTGTGAACCTGGAGAAGCTGTTGTGTCATGGGACACCTGTAATAGCAGAAATGTGACTTTGGGTTGTCTGTTGTTGGTGACAGTACAGTTATCTTCAGGACTGGAGGCCAGATTTCCACCCTGAAATTTTTCGAATGTCTTTTGGGCTTGTTTATCTCCCTCTACTTCAGGGTTTCCTAACCTTATTGCACTTGGCATCTGGATTTGGACAGTTCTTTGCTGTGAGGTAAGAGTTCTTGTGCACTGTGAGGCACTCAGCAGATTCCTAGCCTGTCTGTGTGACCCATTCCCAACCCTTCAGTTTTGACCACCAAAACTGCCTCTGCATAGTGCCACATGTCCACTAGAGGGCAAAAAAAAAACAACCTGCATTGGGAACCTGACACAATGAAGTACATAGCCATGCAAGCAGGTAAAGACAAGGACAGAGACAAGGACACAGAGGATGAAGCTGACTGAAAAATGTCCACTAGGTCTGGTGCTTACGTTGGATCTTCAAGAAAACTCAGGGTGGTGTGACACCAAACTTCCAGGACTGAGGAGTGAAGGAACTTCTACAACAGTGGTTCTCAGCCTTCCTAATGCTGAGACCCTTCATGTTGTAGTGACCTCCAACCAGAAAATTATTGCCGTTGCTACTCTATAACCACATAATTTTACTACTCTCATGAATTGTAATGTAAATATCTGTGCTTTCCAGTGGTTTTAGGTGACCACTGTAAAGAGGCCATTTGACCCCCCCAAAGGGGCCGTGACCCACAGTTTGAGAGCCTGTTTTCTACAAGGACTCTAGGTTGCGAAGGGAAAAAGTCAAGTGAGATTCATGATTAAGAGAGGGCTATTTGTCACTTAGCCAACATGCTTGGGAAAAAGATATTTGGGTATCATAGAGTTTTCCTGAGATAAACATTCCATCCTGCAGGAAAGCTCCTTAAGACTCAGGTGTTTTAAAAGAAGACTCATTATTAGAAACTTGAGCTATTAAATGTAAGAGAAAAAAATGGTCTTATGTACTGGATGGCTGTATGGGAGGCATAGCCAATGGTATTAAAAGAAAAACAGTACTATGAAAGGGATCATTTTTGTTTTATGTTAGAATAAAAGTTTTTTAAAGTTCTTAGGTATATATGTATGTTACATTGAAATGTTAAAAACTTTATATTTACAAAGTTCTTAGGTATATATGCATGTTACATTGAAATGTTAAAAACTTTATATTTTATATTTACAAAGTTCTTAGGTATATATGCATGTTACATTGAAATGTTAAAAACTTTATATTTTATATTTACAAAATTTATATTTCAGTATGAATTGAAAAGGTATGGAAAGATATTTAGCAAACAAGGTATCAGGCAGGGAAGAGAAGGCAGTGTGATATGGGCTATAAGATAGAGGACAGGGAAGTTTGAGTAAAAGGTTTTTCTTTATGTACCTATATTTTGAAAGTAATATGATATTCATAAAAAATAAAGAAAACTCATTTACCCACTCAAGTTTGGAATGGCTGTTTCTTTCTCGGGGATGGGAGGAAGAGGACAGCAGACACTGGTTTCTGTAGCACAGGGTAGGGTTCCAGGAGGTGGCCAGACTGCATGCCTACACGCATGTATGTATGTGAGTAATGTACCTGCAAGTGAGAGGGGACAGAAGTTCAGGGCAGTGAGAAGCCAAGCTCTGAACATCTTAGGAATAATGAAGCATAGAATAGGACATGGATGGAGAGAAAAGGATCATCAAGCTGCATGGACCAGCATAGGACCAAACTGAAAGGAAACTTAGACAGTAAGAGTCTATAGGAAAACGAATTGCTCTTCTGAGACTCAAGAAGGGCACCTAACACAAAATTTACAACTCCTCCAACCCAGCCACACTCTCACTGTAGCAGAAACACCACATCTGTGGATGCATAAGCGGAGTCCCAGCTATATTTTGTTTTCAGGTCCAATCTGCTGGAATTGTAATGTCTGGCAACCCAGTCTTTAACACCTTAAAGAATTAAAGCAAACTTCAACTTACTTTGAGTCTTTGACTTTACAGTATGGACTGCACAGTGCTTGACAGAATAGGTGTAGCTGACACACTGGCAAATTGTGCAACTGCAAGGACCTAAAAGAGATGAAAAAGCAAAAATAATTCTAAAAGCTTGTTTGAAGCTTTTTTGTAACACTATGCAAGTATTAATTTAGCTTAGAATTTACTTCATCTTGCACATAATGAAATTAAAGACAAAAAGGTTAAAATAAATTGGTCAATGTGCCACACGCAGGGCCATGCTGATCTGGGTGGCTGGTGCTGCCACCTGGAGCCATGGAGATATCCAGGCATGGGCCATTGCCTAGTGCCATGTCTGGGTCTGTGGCCCCATGGCAGCCCGGGTCTGGGATGATGTATGTGGCTCCTGTTGCCACCAAGGGCGCTGTGGATTTCTGGGGATCATGCTGATCTGGGTGGTCTGTGCTACCAGGTCTGTGGTGGCATCTAGGCCCGAGCTGCTGCAAGGGCTGTGTCTGGGTCCCTGGTCCTTTAGTAGCTGGGGTCTGTGATGAGGACCATGGTGTGTACCTGTGTTAGCATGGGGGTCCATTGGAGCCATGCTGTGCTGGGCCGGCCCTGCCCTTCACTGGTCCTGTTCCTTGTTGGACAATGCAGCAGGCAAGATGGCCCTCCCCCTCACCACAGGTATGCACCTCACCTGGGCAGCACACTAGAGCTGATCCTGTTGTCCTGGGTGCAAGTGAGAAGGAGAGCAGGAAAGCTGACCCACCCTCACCTCCCACATTCCCCTACAGTAATCAGAAGGGCCCTGCACCTTGCCTGGGATTAACAGTAGAGCTGGCCCTGGTGATGTGAGTGTGGGGGACCTAGATCTGAGGACCTGAGAGCAAAAAAACTGGCCCCACCCCTTGCTGGGGGTTGCAGAGTGAGCTAGCTGAGGCAGTGCTGGAGAGCTTGCCTGGGTAATGCTGACCAGTTCAACTACCGCCCAGGCCCACAACCAGGACTATGAGTTAGCACACCCCAACATCCACCTCATCTCTGAACTGTTGGAGCATGTTAAGGGGACAAACCTACAGAAACAAAACAGCAGGATCGCCATGACACAGAACAACAGGATATCCAAGAGGAGCCCCAGTGAAAGCCCATTATCAGTGGTGTAGCAGGAGCCAGAGGCCGAGTCAGACCAATAACTCATGGCAATGAACACTCAGACGTAAAGATGAATGGTCTAAAGGGTAAACTGTGTGACTCACTGAACCCACAATACAGCTTCCACGACAAGAGTCTCCTTTTTGTTTCGTTTCTTTGTTTTGTATAGTTTTTTCTTTTGAATTTGGTTTTGATTTGGGGTGGGGGCAAGGGCAGAGGACAGATGCAAGAGGACGGGAAAATACGCAGGATCAAAATGAATGATGTGAAACCTACAAGGAATCAACAAAAGTTTTTTTAAAAAATGATCAAGGTCATGTATGTAGGTTAACCAAGTCTGACTCCATGGTCATACTATGTGTCAGGGACCAAGGTGAATACGTATTAACTCAATGAGCAGTACGGTAATGGATACAAGGTGACTTTTCCAAACAACATTTACTAGATAACATTTTTAAAAACTTTTGTATGTAGTACGTGTGTGTGCATATACATGTGCACATGCTTCTGTTTAGGAGGTACACATGCACATAAGCATTCACGCATTTGGAGATCAGACGTCAGTATCTTTCTCTATTGCTCTCCACCTTATTTTTTTTAATATTTTTCATCTATTTTTTATTTTATGTGTATGGGAATTTTGCCTGCATATGTATGTCTGTGCAACACATTGTGCAGTGCCTGAAATGGCCAGAACAGGTGGCATCAGATCTCTTGGAACTAACTTACAGAGGGGTTGTGAGCCTCCATGTGGGTGCTGGGAATTAGACCTGGGTGCTTCAGAAGAGCAGTCAGTGTTATTTGCTGAGTCCCATGTACCTTCCTTTTAAGGCAGGTTCTTTCAATGCCCTGGAGCTCAGCAAGAATAGCTGGCCAGAGAGCCTACTGTTTGTTTCCCCAATGCTAGGATACTCAATGTAGGTAGCACATGCTATCACATCTGAATCTTTACATGTGTGCTAACAAATCTAAATTCATGTCCTCATGATTGTGTAGCACGCATTTCATTGATTGGGGATATCTCCAATCTTATAACATTTTTTTTGAGACACGGTTTCTCCATATAGCCCTATCATGGGATTCCCTCTGTAGACCCCTCTGGCCCCAAATTCAGAGATCTACCTGCCTCTGCCTTCTGAGAGCACAGGGTTTAAAGGCATGTGCCACCATACCTGGCTATATAACATAATCTTGACTGACAATACTAGCAGTCTGTCCGTGGCAGTGCTTAAGAACAGTTAAATTGAATAAGTACACTGACATTTGGTCAGTATGCTTGAGAACAGATATTGGGGGAAATTTATGACAAGCATTGAAACTCCCTGGCAAAGGCAGTAAGGGTTGAGATTAGGCACTTGTACTCTTGTCTTCTGAGATAAAGCATTCTGTCCTACAGTAGGAAAGCTTAGGACTAAAAGGAGGCTCACTCGGTCTGAGGAAATCAGTGGTGGTGCATCCCTTAATCCCAGCACTCAGGAGGCAGAGGCAGGAGGATCTCTGTGAGTTCGAGGTCAGTCTGGTCTACAGAGCAAGTTCCAGGACAGCCAGGACTGTTACTCGGAGAAACCCTGTCGTGAAAAAACAGGAAAAAAAAAAGAAAAGTCTCAGGAAGCAAATAACTCAAAAGCTTCAGGAATTCCTTGAAACAGACTAGATGTAATAGGATCCCTTTCTTCCCAGCAGCTTCCTAGAAGAGGAAGAGACCAGCTAAACTGTCTGAAAGAGCAGAATCTGGCTAGCTGCCTGGAAAAGATACTCTCTAGCCTAGTGAGTTGCCTGCCGGTTGGTTCCTGTTGCCACAAGCCATCCCCCATCTTCTGAGACATTCAACCAAGGCAGAGTTCTCTAAAGGGAAAGTCTGGGTGGAGTGAGACTGGGCAATTTCTATATGACTACCTTTTCTCGGGGCAGTTTAGGAGTAGCATGCCTTCATGCTACGTTGGTGCTGGCATGGCTCCTACAATGAACTTTGAGACATGTGAGCAATGCCAAGTCCTTTATGCATAATGAAATTCTGTGTGAGGAGTCTGAGGGAGAAATCCAAATGAGGCTGTCTTCCCTTATGTGGTAAGAAATCACTTGTCTGTCTGATGAGTGGGATCCACAACATGATTATAGACACCACAAAATAAAGGTAAGGGTTTAGAGCAAATTTTATGGTCTGAGAGGAACATGTAAGAAATGAGTTCAAAAGGCTAACAAGAGGTTGTGTAGCTGCTGTTATGTATAGTAAACAAATGTAGAAAACGCTGAGATGGCTCCTCAGTGAAAATTTGCGTCAGTAAGAGAGGATGCAATAGAGATGCTGTCCTGCCGTTGTCAGAATACAAGGAAGAGTGCACGCTAGGAGTAAACGGACAACAGCCCACTGGAGCACATGGCTCTGGTAGGTCTTGCTTGCCCTTCTCCATTCCTAAAGCTAGCCACAAAGGTCTATTCCCTTTATTTGACCGATTTCTCTTCCCCAGGTTCACTACCAAGGTCCAGCTAATTAGCTTGGCTCACCTAATTAACATGCCAAATTAAAATTAAACACCTCCTTCTAACACGGGGTTTCCCCTTTTATGTTCTCTCTCCTCTCTATCCACATGCTACAGGACAAATACCCTAGCACCCTTTTCCTTGTTCCTTTCCTCTTCTTCCTAGTCCCCTATCTCCTTTACCACCACATCCTAGCCCATTCTAACACAGACCTCACCTTCTTCTCTTAAAAATTACACCTGTGTAGGGAGCAGGACCTGTTTTATCCTGCCCAGCTAGCTTACATCAAAATAACAACACAGGAACTGTATTCATTTAAACACTGGCTGGCCCATTAGGTCTAACATCTTATTGGCTAATTCTTACATCTTAATTTAACCCATTTCCATTAATCTGTGTATTGTCACATAACTGTGGCTTGCCAGCAAGATTCTAACCAGCGTCCACCCCAGGCAGAAGCTCCATGGCGTCTGCCACTCTGCCCTTATTCCAAG